CGGCTCATTTTTGTATTTTTTGGCTCATTTTTGTCTCATTTTTGGTATTTTTTGTGCCATTTTTGTCTCATTTTTGTGCCATTTTTGTGCCATTTCCGTTGTTTCCCGGCTCATTTTTGTATTTTTTGTCTCATTTTTGTCTCATTTTTGTATTTCCTGTCTCATTTTTGTGCCATTTTTGGTGTTTTTTGTCTCATTTTTGTATTTTTTGTGCCATTTTTGTGCCATTTTTCTCTCATTTCGGTATTTTTTGTCTCATTTCGGTGTTTTTTGTCTCATTTTTGTGCCATTTTTGTATTTTTTGTCTCATTTCGGTGTTTCCCGGCTCATTTTTGTATTTCCTGTCTCATTTTTGTGCCATTTTTGTGCCATTTTTTGTATTTTTTGTCTCATTTTTGTCTCATTTTTGTATTTTTTGTCTCATTTTTGTCTCATTTTTGTCTCATTTTTGTGCCATTTCGGTGTTTTTAGTGCCATTTTTGTCTCATTTTTGTCTCATTTTTGTATTTTTTGTCTCATTTTTGTATTTTTTGTCTCATTTTTATATTTTTAGTGCCATTCCCGTAGTTTCCCGGCTCACCTGGAATCCTGCCATCTGGAACGCCGCCGCCATCTCGCGGTCCCCGTTGCTCCCCTCCTCCCTCAGCACGGCCACGCGCGGCCCCGGCAGCGCTGGGGGACCCCAAAAATCGGCACCGGGACCCCCAAAAACAACAAAGACCCCCACGAGACCAAAAAACAACAATCCCCCAAAAATCCCCAAAAAAATCCCAGAAAAATAAAAAAAAATCCCATTAAAATCCCATAAAAATCCCATTAAAATCCCATTAAAATCCCATTAAAATCCCATAAAAATCCCATAAAAATCCCATTAAAATCCCATTAAAATCCCCCAAAAATCCCATAATAATCCTATTAAAATCCCATTAAAATCCAAAAAAATCCCATTAAAATCCCATAAAAATCTCATTAAAATCCCATTAATACCCCATTAAAATAAAAAAAAATTCCGTTAAAATCCCCCAAAAAATCCCATTAAAAATCCCATTAAAATAAAAAAAAATCCCATTAAAATCCCATTAAAAATCCCATAAAAATCCCATTAAAATCCCATTAAAATCCCATTAAAATCCCATTAAAATCCCATAAAATCTCATTAAAATCCCATAAAAATCCCATTAAAATCCCAAAAAATCCCATTAAAATCCCCAAAAAATCCCATTAAAATCCCATTAAAATCCCTCCCAGACACCTCCAAGGGACCCCAAAAATCGGCACCGGGACCCCCAAAAACAACGAACACCCCCACGAGACCAAAAAACAAAAATCCCCAAAAATCCCCCAAAAATCCCCCAAAAAATCCCAGAAAAATAAAAAAAAATCCCATTAAAATCCCATAAAAATCCCAAAAAATCTCATTAAAATCGCATTAAAATCCCATTAAAAATCGCATTAAAATCCCATTAAAATCCCAAAAAAATCCCATTAAAATCCCAAAAAAATCCCATTAAAATCCCAAAAAATCCCATTAAAATAAAAAAAAAATTCCGTTAAAATCCCATAAAAATCCCATTAAAAATCCCATAAAAATCTCATTAAAATCCCATAAAAATCCCATTAAAATCCCCCAAAAAAATCCCATTAAAATCCCAAAAAAATCCCATAAAAACAAAAAATAAATCCCATAAAAATCCCATTAAAATCCCACAAAAACCCCCAAAACATCCCCAAAAAAATCCCTAAAATGTCCCCAATGTCCCCAATGTCCCCAATGTCCCCAGTGTCCCCAATGTCCCCAATCCCCCCAATGTCCCCAGTGCCCCCAATGTCCCCAATGTCCCCAATCCCCCCAGTGTCCCCAATATCCCCAGTGTCCCCAATGTCCCCAATGTCCCCAATCCCCCCA